AAGTTGTAGGAGGAGTTGAAAGCAACGTTTTTTGAGCCAAGTTGCACCTAAACCCTTGAATGATCTGCAACCAGTGATAAGAAGAGGTGATAGCAGGTAGATCAACAGGAGCTAAAATCACTTTGAAATGAGAGATTGCTAGTTCACTAATCTCCACAGGGTCTGTGATAGTTTGACCAGCATTGTTTACCAAGGCCCTAATGGAATTGTAGGCCATCCTAGCTATAGCAACCTTGTAGAAATAAGAGGTGTTTTGGTCTCCCAATTTTAACCAGTTGATTCGAGATTTCTGCTTGAAGAAAGCTTCCTCAATCCCTTTCAGATAAGTCAACTTCTCATTCATATCTCTTTCTGCTTGAAATGTTGCTGTTGAAGGGTTAAGTAAGGCTTGTTCCTGCAAAACTAGCAAAACATCATTAGTCACTCTCACTCTCTTTTCTATATGGGAAAAAACTCTCTTTGATAAGTGCTTTAAGACTTTGTTTGATTTGTTTCAGCTTGAACCCCATTGTTGCAAGATCTAGTGCTCGAGTTCCACCCAGATTCCATGCAGTATGAACAGTGGCCAGGAATGAAGGATGAGTGGAGAGATGGTTTTGGAATTTGAAAGGTTTAGTACCAGCGGAAGGTAACTGAATGGCTAGATTTATCACACAAGGAGAATGGTCAGAGAAATCAAAAGGAAGAAAGGTGGCTTCACTATGAGGGTAAGTGGTTATCCAATTCTCATTAACAAGTGCTCGGTCGAATTTCTTTGTTGTTGGGTCTTCTGGATTGTTATTACTCCACGTGTGAGAGCAACCATGATACCTCAAATCTTCCATTCCCAGGTTAAGCATCACATCTTTCAGTTCCACCATATCCACTGTGAGATGGTTAACAGAGGGCTTTGAGTGCTCAGAAAAATGCATTATCTGATTTAGATCTCCACCAATGATCCAGTTTGCGTTTTCTAGGAAGAGGGTTTGCTGCACTTCCAGAAGCTCAGCCCAAAGGGTAACTCTTTCATTTCTGAAGTTAGATGCGTAAATTGCAGTATAGGTGAAGCTGAACCCACCAGGCAGAACAACTGAACAAGTGAGGGACTGCCTAGATTGGTGGAGCACTTGGACGATGCAAGGGTCTTTCCAGATGACAATGATTCTACCACCTTCATCCGTGTCATGATTAGATGTAAATCTCCAGCCAGGACAAGAAGCCAACATCACATGATTCAAATTGGGTTTCTTTATATGTGTTTCCAAAATAGCACCAAAAAGAGGCTGATTTATACTAAGCCAATTAGCAAAAGAGTTATACTTGTCCTGGTCATTTAGACCACGGACATTCCAAAAAAAGAGTTTGGGAATCATTGGGGGTTGGGTTTGTTCTCATCCAAGGGAGGAAGAGAACCCTCAAAGAGATTAAGTGGGTTACTTATAGGGGTAGAAGTGATTAGGGTGAAGGGGATCGAGTCTGGATTCAAAAAAGAAGTAGGTGGAAGGGTAGGCAGTTTAGAATTTGGTGCGTTTAGTTTGGTGATTTCTAAGTAGGATGATATTTTGGTTTGAGGTGATTTTGGTGGTAAAGTAGGCTTTTTAGTGTTGATTTTTTGGTGACTAGATGCCTGAAATGGATTAAAGTGGTTTGGGTTAAAGTCTAGGGTTGGAATCACTGGCACCAGGCCAGGTTGCTGCACCACAACAGGCCTATAAGTAAACTCCGCTGGGAGACCTAGGACACAGTTAGTAACTACATCCATTGGTGATCCAGGAGAAAGAGGAGCTTCAGACAAGCCAGCAGTATTAGCTAGAACAGCAGTTCTTGTAACCAGAGGAGACTCATTACCAACCTCAAAGTCCTTACTAATAACTATATCAACTTCAGGGACCAAGGTTTGTTCTATCGGAATTATAGATTCAGGATTAGCAGTTGTAGATTCCTCCATTGGGGTAACTCCAGTGGGATCAGAAGTTGTAGTTTCGGGGACAAGATATGGAT